ACAGAAGTATTTAACAATACTTATAACTCTTAATATAGTGTGTACATCTTCATATATGTCATATTTTTAGTGAAGTATTTTTTAATAAAATAAATATTTGCCCATGAATAGACCGTGTGCAAAGTAAATTTCATGTTAAAATTAAAAATACTTTTCCTCATCTGAAATTTCCTTTATGTAATCCCTAAAACCTCCTAAATGCATTTCATACGTATTTTTTCAAGATTGCCGATCATAGTTAAGCCTAATTTTTTATAGTACTAATAGTAATGCACTTAATTTTTATTTAATTAAATAATGCACCAAAGAATATAGACTAAGAACATGCATAAAGTAGACAAATTTCCTTACCTCTCAAAATTTGTCTGGCTTTCTAAATATGCAACAAGAGCCATTACAAATTCATCCAATTCCACAGGAATGATATTGCTACTTTAAATGAAACTAACTTCTAACTGTTCAGAATATAATGTTATACAATATATCAATTGATAGATGAAAACCTTGACTTTCTATTGGTTATAGGTAATATATAATGAAACATACGAGAGAACTATCAACGAATTCTGAAAGAGAGGATGTGACAGGTGGGTGTGGCAGGAGAGGTCTGATTTTTTATTTGATAGCTCTGTAACCAAACAAAATTGACGACTATAAAAATTATGGTTTGTCTGAGCAATAACAATTTTATAGAGTAATATACATTTAATTTCATACTTTTTCAAGGGGTGGTGGATTAAATAGGGATGATGACACACTAAGAGAAAATGTGTAATGTGGGTCACACTAGTGGGAATTGACAATTTGTTTTATATTGCCTTATAGAATTATAACTTAAAACTTGTATACTATTAAAATATGAATTATTAGCTAAGATTTTATGTTTTTCTAATTGGAATAACAAATAAAAAGTAGTTTAATAAAATTTTTAATGTAAGACACTAAAACCTTGTGTCATGCACAGTAAAGGATACCCGGGACGATAGGGTTAATAAGGAAGTAAGCTTGAAATATTGAATTTTAATTATTTATTTGATTTTAAACATTAAACAAGGGCTGATGATTCATACTTAATCACACTTTTTACAAAATTCACAAAACAAAGACCTCTCTATGAATAAAGTAACAGGCCTAATATTTTAATGTGAATCCCTCCAATTTTATTTACATTTCTCTTAACTTGTCTATTGATAATTTGAAATCCAAGATGTGTAAATATAGCACTTCAGATCTATCTTTTGTCTGACACAATTCACTGCTCAGAAGACCTTCCATTCAACACCAGAACTTAACTGCTGGGTAGGATGGTAAGGGGAAAGTTTAAGTGAAACACTGTTTTTATTTTCAATATAAGTATTTTAAGGTAACATCTAAACAGAAATTACTTACGGAGATGTTTTGATTCTGACTTTGAGATCTCCAGGATCACCATCAATGTGAGGTTCACCTAAAATGGAAAAACTTATTATTCAGAGTGATAATGAGTGTGTGGGATGTATGAACAGTAAGTCTTGAGAGTTATTTTGATTGTTCATTTACTAAGTGAACTACTTATAGGAGTTAGAATAAAGACCTTTGTGTCTTAGTTTGTTATGCTTGAAATAAACATGACACAACCATCAGGTGCTCTTTTCTACTTATTTTTCTAGCAGGTTACTTATTCAAATACTCTTTAATCACTTTTTTCTTCTCTACAACATTGGACACAAAGCATTCAAGATTTGAGAAATGTCAAGTTAATTTCATATAACACATTTCTTACAATTAACTTACCTTCAGCAATAAATTTCTGTTCTTGACCATCGTGCATGCCAGGCTCTACTTCTATTTCAAGAAGTTTCTCTTCATTCACTAATCTGAAAAATATAAGTTTTTTAAAAATCATTATTTTACAAACTGTTAAATTAACATATAAAATTTCAGCTAACAGAACTAGATTTATATGCCAGTACACAAACTGCACTATCACACACTAACTTATGGTGTTTCTATTAAAATTTGTTACAACACAGCAATCAATAAGAAATCCAAATAGTTTGCACCATTTTATGTTTTTAATGATCAGAAGCAACATGTTAGCAGAGATATACAATGTAGCTAAAAAGAGCTTTGCAACTCTGTATGTCTGGGGTGTTAAATTTTAAATGCAAACAAAATTAAAAGGAGGTGACCCTCTCGTTACACGTATATCTAAGTGAGCATGCAACAATCTTTTATACAGTTACATTCAAAATTCAATTAAACCACTTTATCATCTTTTATACAAATGAATGTGTCATCAAAACACAGTTAATAAATCAAACTGTAATATTATATTAGTTTTAAGTTCTTAATTTTATAAGGAAATATTTAAAAAAACCTCAATCTTCCCTAGTATATGTGAAATTTGTTCTCTTGGTCTTCCCTCTCCTCTAATTTATTTACCATCCCTCTGAGAAGTATGGAATTTAACATAATTCTTTATAATTACTCAGGCAAAGCATAATTTTTTAGACTTCAATCTTATTTGTTTACTGAGCCATAAACTAGAAAATCAGACCCACTTGCCACACCTATCTATCACATCCTTTCTTTCACAAATTGTCAATGATTCTCTCTGGCATTTTATATATTATTAATTGAAAGCTAAAGTTTTAATCTACCAAATGATGTCATGTGTTTCATTGTTTTCTGAATAAAAAATTGCCTATTGTCTTTAGTCTGAAACTTCTCAAGATATTCCTATCAACAAGCTTAGATGAATTTTTAAAGGCTCTTATCGCATAGTTATAAACCCACATAAATTACAATGATTATACATTATTGTTTGCTCCATGCATGTTATTAATCTCTGTTCTTAGGTGCATTATTTAATTAATTGAAAATTATTTAGTCCAGTAGTATCATTAGTACAGAAAAAACATGAGGATCCGGGTACGTACTATATTTCTTGTTTTTCATGTGTATTCTTTATTATTATAAAAGTAAGTAACTAAAATGTAAGGATTAGAGATTTATTAGGTTAAATAATGTTAGATTAAGTAAGATAATTAATCCAACAACAGATTAACCCTATCCCTACAGATCAAAGTGTGCATGTCACCACTTTTCACAGAATTCTATTCAAAAGTTAAATAATTCTTTCAACACAGTCTCGGTCCCAGGGACCGACCACGTGACCATTTTTACTTGTATATAGTTTTAATATTATAATATATTTTTAATACAGTATATGTACTTTCACAAAATTTGGCAGACTTTTAGTAAACATTACATGTTGTTTGTACAAAAAAATCTTTTTTTTTTTAATGAAGTATTTTTTGCTAACAATTTATCCGTGAATGAATCAAATATTTTTTACTACTCCATAAGCAAAGTGATTTTTATGTAAAGATTAAAAATACTTCTCATTGTCTCAAAAATCTCAACCTTCATTTTTCATAATTGCTAAAACCTTATTAGTAAATATAAATATTTTTTTACAGTAAAACTATATATTTCATCTCTACCATAACAATATATTTCATTCTTCCATTAGTGGACAAATCATCAAAGTATAACGAAACAAAAAGTTGTAAAATCAGAAATAAAATAAAAAACTTTGCCGTTTTCTTGATTATTGGTTCATAAGATTTTAAAGTACCTCTTTTGAGAGTTTCAACTGCTAAGCGTTTCACATTAATTTTCTAGAAATATGTTGAAAATGAAGCAATAAATCACCGATTGTGCCAGTGGACTGTTTAAGTGACACTGTAATATGATACCTTCCCAAACAACAAAGCACATGCGAAGGGATAGCCGACTTGACCCCTGCTCCAAGAACAGGATGTCTAATGTATCAGATTATTTAACTTACAGTGTTTACTAGGAAATTTAACTTTAGTAATCACACTGCACTTAGAATCTGTGAAAACGTTTATGCCGACAACAGGATGTGGAATTTATCGACTTATGTATGTATCCTAAAGTGTTCTCCATCAAGTATTCTCCAGAGCAATAAGACTGCATTTTGAATCTGTCAAAATGTTTATTATGTGGCTCGATGCTGATACAATAATCATCGCAATTCTTGGAATATTGTTAATCCTTCTGAGATGTTAGAAATTTAGTGGTATACTGTACAGGTGTACAATGATCTTATTGGTACACATGGTTGTGAAATCCTGCTTCTCTTTCAGTAAAGTTATTCATCAACTAATAAACATGCAGGCATTCAAATTCAGCCAAGCACTCTGACTTTGGATATTTCTCTACACTTTGTTGGAAGACAAATTGGTACCAAGCAAATCTACTCTACTTGAAGCATGTATCTTGCTATTGACTTTTTACCTATAAGTAAGTAATTATTACTTATAATACATCTGGAATCTCAGTTAAATAGTTTTAGTATATAGTTTTTGACCAAAATACATTGTAGCTGTTTCTATATTTTAGCAGAAAATATATTGCTTCTGAAATCTATGATACACATCACAAAATATATATACATGTAACGAACTAATACATATCATATAATACATATAATAATGTTACACAACAGAAAATACATGATACTAAATATAATATACATGTAATGTTTTTTCTCCTAGAAATGGAAGCTAAAAAAGAATTTAGAGAAATTCAATGAATTAAAAACAAAAAAAGTTGTCAACGATGATGAGATGCAGTTTTTACTGCATGCATCTTTCTCTTCTGATGAAAGCTGCAGACTTTCAGAGGAATCAGCAGTTGAGAAAGCTCATGCTTCAATTGCTATGACCCTGACAGATTCAGTCTATAAAACGAGATGGCCTTAGGTAGAACCAGCTTTTCTTGATTCTGTCTTATGGACAGATCAAGAAGTAGTTGGAAGGTCTTCAACAGATGACAATGTACAGGAACCACCCAGGCCAGGTACATCTAGAGAAGCTACACCACCACAGAAAAGAGGCAGGGTAGGAGAAGGGGTAGAGCTGCAGTGTGTTCTAGGACTGCCCCTTCCCAGCAGGAAAACCTCTAGCCTGCAATGATACCTGGACCTGAGAGCATATCACTGAGGAGAAACAAATAAACATACCTCCATTCAACAAAGGTGAACCTGTGTCCAGACAGGTCACCTCTTTAAATAAAATTAACTTCTTTAACTTTTATTTACTGCAGCAACACTAAATATTATTGTAAATGAAATGAACCAGCTTGCAAACAACAGACACCAGTAAGAAGGTGGACCACTAAAAAAAAGAAAAAAAGTAAAATGAACCGATATTACACATTGTGAACTCTTAGCATATTTAGGTTTAACTTTAACAATGGGACTAAAGCTTTCTCCTCCTCCCTCTGACTATTGGTCTATCTATCTTCCTTTCCATAATCCTTGGTTTACTAACATCTTCTCCAGGGACAAGGTTTTTAGCTATCCACACCTATTTACATTTCAATAACAATACTAATGCTCTTCCTAGAACTGACCCTAACTATGATAATTTTTTTAAGGTTAGACCTATCATAGACTGTCTACTAAACTCTTTTGTTTGCCGCTACTCTCCTAACAAAGAACTAAACATAGACAAAGAGATGCTGGACACAAGATGTAGAATTGGTTTCCTTCAATAGTTACCTAAGAAACCTGTCAAGTGGGTAATCAAGTTGTGGGTCCTGGTAGAAGCTGTGGATGGATACTGTCTAAAGTTTAAAATCTACACAGGCAAAGATGGACAAATTTCAACTAAAGGTTTAGCAGAAAATGTTGTGATGGAACTGATGGACAAATACAACAGACTAGGACACTGGGTTTTCATGGACAACTTTTACATTTCCTCTTGTTTATTTGACAAACTACTGACTATGGGAACCTATGCTTGTGGGACATGCAGGAAAGACAGACTGTATTTCCCACAGCAACTTGTTTCTACAAACCTACAGAGAGAGGAAGCACATTTTTTAAAATGTGGAACTCCGACAGCCGTGAAGTAGACTGAAAAACGAGACATTTATGCACTTTCAACTTTACACATTCTAATACTATGACAAATGTGACAAGAGAGAGGGTGGAATACTGAGGTTACAAAACCTCAGTTAATTGTGGACTACAACAAGTTTATGGGAGGGGTGGATCTGAATGACCAACACTTAAGTTACTATTATACTGGACAAAGGACAATAAAATGGTATAAAAACTGTTTTTATTTTTTTTAATTTTGGACTTGACAGTTGTAAATGCCTACATTTTGTACAAACAACAAACTAGTCAGCCGGCATTATCCCAGAAGGTCTTCAGAATGGACCTGGTCACAGCTCTTATTGAGTCTCTACTTCAAAGCAGGCCAAGTCCTTCTGGTATACCACTTTCAAGAACTGTGCAGGACTCATCACCTCTTAGACTTGCTCATGGCAGGCATTTACCAACAACTGTTGATAAAAGTCACAGGAAGAGATGCAGACTGTGCCTCTCCGAAAATAAAGTAACAACCAAATTTAAACTGGTTACTTACAAACAGCTATAAGATTTACGTACATAAGTAACTGCACTTTCTATTGGTTATAAACTCTTAGAAGGTTGGACTAGACAAGAGGTTTTGAAAGACTGGAGTAGTAGGAGGAGTCAAACTATTAGACTGGCTATATATATCTCAGCAAATCAAAGAGGTAGGAGGTTCATATTTTTTATTATAACTTGTCCATATCCCTAATTTGAGTTTTTAATTCGTTAACTACTGCAAATGTTGTGTGGTAAGCATAATTTATTTTAAACTGAACAATAACACAACAGGAAGTGTTAAGTGAGACAAAAAATAATATTTATCATTTTTTTCTTTATATATTTCCTTTCAAATTAAGAAATTAAAACGTATATAACATTAACATTTGAAATATAACCTTCGCTTTGATGTGAATCCCTTTGATATAAGTAATAGCAAAGCTATTTAATAAAATTTTGAAAATAGCTCTCTAAAATGTCATGACACGCACCCTTTGACCTGCCCATAGTGAAAGGGTTAAACTGCTTTATTATAAATGTATACAAATAAGTTATGTATCAAAATGTAGTTAAAAAATCAAATTTTACTATCAGATTTAATTTCTTAATATTAAAATGAAACATTTAAATAAATTCTAAATTTCCCCTTGTATGTGTATCATTTCATCAGTTTGCTTCAACCTGCCCATTCTTTATTTTTCTTCATCTCAATAATATACATTACTCATTATAGTATAGATATTATTAAGGCTTAGTCTAATCGAGACATACGGTAGTGTGTTATGCAGCCAAAACAACCTGCAGGACACATTGTGTGTTATTAACAAGAGTGATAGCTCAGCAATTTTCCACTTTCTGTAGCTCGGACTGTGGTAATCCAAACATCCCATATTTTCCGTGAATGTGTTCTACTGTACCCTTACTTCACATACCACATTTCAAAGCAATCCATGATGAAATACACAAGATATAAAATCTCCAGTTTGATTGAAATTCTTTTTTTTCGCACCAAAACTACAGAAACAGTATCTGATAGAAAAAATACTTTTATAGATTTTTTTCAAATCTGGTACACTGATGAATCTTTACAATGTACAATTAGATGTCAAATTTGGTCTAAATAAAAGCCACATGCGCAAAATTATTCAACAAAAACCCATCAATTGTCCAAAATTTTTGCGCATGCCTACATAAAAAGTCATGTGAGCTATCAATTAACATTTCTACTACAGCTACACTTAACTAAAAGGTAAAAGCATGTGCAGTTACATAAGTATTGGTTAGGCCAAGTAAACCAGATTGGCAGTTTCTAGTTCAAGTTTTCAAAAGAATCATATGAGTGTACAGTTATTATTGATTATTTGTTGCCAATTTTTCAGCACAAATTAACTAAATTTTATGAAATTATCAGCATCAGGTTATATTAGCTTAAGCAATTAGCATAAATAATTATGCTTGATATGGCTGTACCGATTGCATGGGGGTGATGACAAGAAACTGTTAATCTAAATTCCATGGTTTTATTATAGAGGAAACTATGAATACTGTTTTAGATAAGAAAAACTACTACCATATATTTTTTAAAGAATCTGGTTGATTCTGTTAAGTATTGGTCTGTTCCAAATAATAGGTTTGTGATCCTAAAGCTAATATTGGTTAGTGTATATTGACATAAAAGTAAAGATATCTAATCAAAAACACCTCAGGTGTAAAAAAAGAAAAGGTAGTCAAAAAACGATTCAGTGTGCGACTTAAAGGAATGAAACCAAAAATGGTGGCCAAATTGGCAGTTACATTTATGTCATTGATAAGAATTTTACATCAAATATTCATTCATTAGTTGGCTATATCACGTTTTTTTTACCCACTATCATGCTTCAAGTTGAACAAAAAGTGCTGCCTGGCTAACTAATAAATGCATATTTGCTGTAAAATTCTTATCAATACTATAAAAATTGTAGCTATGAGTTTGGCCAACAAATATTATTTCATTCCTTTAAGTTGCACACTCAATCCTTTTTTGGCTGCACCTTTTTCACACCTAAGGTATTGTTGATTAGATTTTTATAGCTTTCAATTTTTTTTTTTTTTTTTGTTTAAGTAGACATAAACTGAAAAGTCAGACTCACTTGCCACACACATATCACATCCCCTATATCACAAATTGCCAATAATTTTCTTGGACATTTGCTATTATGTCATTTATAACCACTAGAAAGACTAAAGTTTTAATTTTCTGAAGAACATAATGCTACCTTGTTCTCAGTAGTGATTTTGAGTTATTTCATGGACAGATTGAAAATTGCTATCACTGAACTCAGTTCAAGTAGCTAAGGGAATTATTTTAAGGCACTTATGTCTTTGTTAGAAAGCCAGTTAAATTATGATACTTAGCAGGACATAGTTTGCTCTGTGCATTTTATTACTGTGTTCTTAAGTGTATACTTGAAATATATGAAAATTTTTTAATGTACTAGTACATCATTAAGGAAAAAAGTAGGCTTAAGTTTTATTGGTGAGTTGATAGCATGAGGCCAAACAATTACTAAATTTCTTGTTTCTTGTATATATATTTTTATTCATTGTTATGAAATTAACTAAAATGTACATGTTAAAAACCTATTAAGTTGGATAAGATTAGACTAGGTTAGATAATGAAAAAATTATAAAAACATTCCTCTACAAGGTATGCTCAAGATTAGTTAGTGTATTATGTCATTTATTAACTTGAGCTATTTATTTGCTGTGTTATTTACAGTTTGTATTGCAGGATTATTAGTTAGGCATGGTTCAAAGAACAATAAAATCAAATCAGATGTGAACTGTTATGAGCCTTAAGCTGTATAGGATAAATAACTACAATTTTTATGATTTGCAGTCATTCTAAAAAGAAAAAAGTGGTCATTTAGATTTATTTAGCACTTTTTTTGTGGTGGTTACAAGGTCAGTCAAATTGACTGAGTCCATATACAGTTAGGATAGAGAAAATAACAAATAAAATATAGTTTTACTGAAAAAAAATTATATTCATTTAGGAGGTTTTAAGGGTTAAGCAAATGAAATTTGTAGACTGTAAGATGAAAAAAGTATTTTTAATTTTGGATGAAAACAACCTTACATTTCGACTAGTCAACACTCTGATTCCATATATTCATAGACAAATCATTAGCAAAAATATTTATAAACAAAAATTTATGAAAAGCTTGTTGAATTTTGTGAAGATATACAAAATAAACTGGGAATTATTTTAATCATTAATTTTCCAGTACGGGCTAGGTCCAATGAACTGAGCCTGTGCATGTATGATTAATTGAAATTAAGATTAAATTGACCACCACAAAATAACCAAAATTAGTTTCTGATTATTACTATTTTTATTATTTTAACTATTCATGTGACCAATATATTGCCATTATGTTTTTTCATTCTTTACAACAAGGCTACATATAATGGGCTATTTGTGCTCCATCAACCATGAGTATAGAAACCTTGTTTTTAGTGTTATAAGTTGTTTTTTTTAATAATATCATAAGAATAATCCATTAATTGAATGTAACTGATTCAAAAGCTGGAAAATCACTCTACTATCAAATTCACTTATAATCCAGTTCTAACTGAAAGTGTTTAGAACAATTTCATACTACTTTCAATCAAGTTTGATATTAGAAGTTGCTTTCCCTTATAATCAACAACAATGTTTATTTTTATAATACAGTCCAAAAATTTAAGATAACCAACTGATAGGAGAGATTTATCAAATAAACCCGATGTTCTTGGACTGAGTGTATTGAGAATATTAAGCACAGACTTACTTAATGTTTCTCAATTTTTCTGAAGATGACCACCTTCAGTGATAAAAAGTTTATTTAAATTAGTCTTCCTATTTATTAAAGCCAAATACAAAGGGGTTAAGTTTCTTTGAGATATACATGTGACAACTATCTTTAGTTTCATAAAACACTAAATTCACGAGGAAATAACTCTTGTTTAGTCCTTAGGGTGTGCACCATCTCTAAAGTAGATTCATAAATCCTCTGTAATTTTCGGAATTTCTATTAGCCAAGAATTTAGTCTTTGTAAACAAGGACAACTTAATCAAACTGGACGAAAACAGTAACTGAAACATTCATAAAATAAGGTTTTTCAATCTTCTCAAAACTATTTAAAAAACGTACATAAAAGTCATGGATTACAAATAAATTACAATATGCTCTAAAAAAAAAAAAAAAATTATATAGCTTACAACCATTGAAAAATCTGCTAGGCTATAACTTACTTAATATTTGGGCATTCATCACAGACAGTTTGCTGTGTCATTTGAAATCGACCTGGGCCTAGCTGTCTTGTGACCATCTCCTGCCGGCAATTACATTTCCGAGTACCTGATGCAGGCTTCATAACTGGCTTGTTTCGTATAACCTGGTGACAAGAAATGATTTAGCAATTCTTTTGTTATTATTTTTATCATGCATAAACTTACTTCAAATAATAATTTTTTGATCTATACATCTTAAATTACATAGTTACAATTAGAAATAAAGAAAACAGATCCAATTTCATGTTCAACATGCAAAATGAATAACATTTCACAAAAGCATAACATTTTAACATATACTAATGTATACGTATATATACATTTAAAAGAAACTAACTAAAAATATGCATCTCATAGCTGATTCAAAATATATAATACCTGCATCCTTTAAAATTTGGGTTTCATCATATCTCAGATAGTCCTTTTTTTAATGGAATATATATATTCAAGATACATTGAGTTTTATCATCAAAAAGTTTTGCAGTATTAAGCAAAGAAATTTTAATGATTTTCTTTTAATCTATAAATCTTTAGTGCATGTCAGTTGTGCAGGGAAAAAGTGTTAATATTGAAACAAGCTATAATTTAAGAAAAGTCTTTATAGTTTGGTGATGAACTGAAGTTGTTCAACTGTTAATCGTTAAAGATTACATGATGCTTAAGACAAGAATGTTATCATGATCAACTGCAAAATAGATTAATGACAATGAAGGATTATACAAAATACAAAGATACTTGTAGAGGAGGCTAAAAGGAACAAATAGTTAAGAAGCAACAAAATGCGTGCATTTAAGTTTTTACTGGTTATTTAGAGTTGCACCAATGCTTTAAATCAGAAATACTTGTAAGTTTTGTACATACCAGAAGTTTCTTGGGTCCAACAGAATGTATCAACTAGCTAACAGTTATTTTGTCATGACTAATATTATAACAACTTTTCAGATGAACAACCACAATTTCTTAATTTATGTAGAAGTTGTAAAAGTACTGTTAACTCTTTCAGCACAGGCTCAATCCCT